TTCATATCTTTGAGGGAGAGTGTGGTTTTTGTTGTGAAGAAATTTGACAATGCAATATCTCGCTTATTGGCCTCAATTTACAGAGAAAGAATCGCCATGCAATCCTTTCTATGTACGGTGGCCTCGAGTACGATTGAACTTCAAGCCAGTCGCTAACGCTCGGTTGTCACTTCGTGCTTGTGAAAGCGCATGCTCCCTTGGTGAAGATCCACAAACGCCAGGTCGCGTATTCATTTTTGCTAAGAATCCTATGAAATTTCTCGTATTCGAATATTATCTTGACACTTGCGAAGCAGTACGGTATTTCAGGCCGTCTACTGGAATGTGCTGCTTTGAACCATCACCCATCGCCCGACGGCTACGCTCATCATTGTGATGTTTTTCAACCACATCAGCTTCAAAACGTTGACGGTTACGTAGAGGCTGACGATCGTTACTCATTTTATTGGAAGTACTGCCTAAATAGTGAGTTAACAATTTTATCAAAGTTAAGGGGGTAAATTTTATTGCAGAACTTTAATTTCAAAACTCGTTTGATTATATATAATATCTTTAACTACTGTTTCAAAACTCGTTTGATTACACATAATTTCTTTGTCTACTGTTTTATACCTCAAAACTAAGTAGCCTTGACAGATGACCTATTTCCATGGTTGGTCCAGGGTTTTCGTAGAACAATAGCGGAAATGTTTTTTGATTTGCACAGGATACAATCTCAGATAGTATCTGCGCATGGGATTGGTTTAGTCTTCGATTGAGAGAAGAAGTCCGTGAATTAGTTTCATCCTTTCCGTAAGGAGTGCTGTCGCGATAAAATCATTTTGCTGGGAATGAGATGTTGAACAGATTTTTTTATGTGGAAAACAGAGATTATTCGATAGTTTTGATATGATGTTCATGAGTGTTCAGTAATTGGAAAAAATAAGGTGCAACTTCAATAGTGACGACTAAATTTATAAATTGTGTTCACTTTGCGTACCTATTTGGAGTGAGAAGTGTTCATAAACATATCAGCTTTGCAAACAAAATTCAAGCAAGGGGAGCTCTACCGGTATCATAGCATAGTCCTTCGATCAGATTCTGTCTTGGCTCTTCTCTTCGAAGTAAAGAACCCATGGTGACTAGAGGAGTGACTGTTTACCTCATCCGCCACCAGTCGCCGATAATATTATGCTAGTGGACATTCGGTCACTTGTAAGATGCTGAACGGGCGTCATATATGTGGCCCTTTTAGTCAATGTTGAGCGCTTTATCTTTTCTTATGGAATTGTAACGGATATGCTGATGTAATACGTCACTTCCTTCTACCATCGGGTGGAACTGAAAGGCAGCAAACGGCGCCGCTAACACATAAGTAATGCAGTGATCGAATCCCGTATTCGAATACCATACAGTCTGACTGACTCATTAGTCCATGAAGAACTAAATCATACGACAGATTGGCGTTTTTATTTTATGCTGTATTTGAGTGTAGAGGTGTGCCTACCACGCGCACGGTCCGTAGATAAAATGCCAATTTATGCGCCATCCGAGCCATCCAAGCCTTCCATTGCTCGGCGTTCCGAGGATTATCGCTAGGCCAATGTGGGAGGATAAAGCGTTGATTTGTACATCGGCCGAGCAGGGCATTGATTGCTCAAATCGTATTCGAACTGCTAATTCGATTCCGAGTGGAGGTAGGATGCGTGGCGTATCCCAAAAGAAATACACCGATGCCGAATTTTCCTTTTTTGCTTGCACTATCTTTTTGACTCAATTATATGTAGTTTTTTTATTTAGTGAGCTGATGTCGTTCAGCATGTTTTGGGGTGTTAATCTTGTTAATGTTCTGTGTTTTAAAATTTCTCTTGGTAACGTTTTCAGCAACGCGTAAATGTGGAGGAGAGTACGCTTTTACGTACCACTCTGACCGCTACATGGACGCACGAGATGTCACTCGAGTGATTAAAAAAGGCAGTCTGGAGGAGTGTCTCGTTGAGTGCCTTGATGAGAAATCGTGAGTAATTTGTAGAATTTTTCCGTGTTCGTGGCTTCACCTCTGACCGCATTTCCATTCCTTTCTCGGCTTGATTTATTCTTCCATTCAGTAATAATTATACTATTAATAAGTATCCATTTTGTGTGTCTGAATGTGTTCACGTTGCAGTGTTCCGTGTCGTTCGATTTCATTCAATCGAACAGATGGTGGATGCCACATATCAGCGGACAGTCAGCTCACTAAACCACAAGCTATCCACCTTAACAACAACCCGAATTTCCGAATTGATTACTACGAAAACAACTGCTACAACTGTAAGTAAATTCACGGAAGTTCAGTGTGCTGCTACGTTCAACAATTTCAAGCTTTTTCCCGATCTATTGACAATAGGAAATTTTGCAATTCAAGCGAAGATTCTGACTACTGTGTGAAGCAATTTTGTAGATTGAGTGTTGACGTCTGACCTAGTTGGTTCCGACTACTTTTCGGATTAGAAAAACGTGCGTGACTAATACCTCCGTAGTTTGAAGAGGATTAAATGGATGCACAATGGCTGACCTTACGTGGCCCCTTTTGACATGGCATGGGGGAAAGTCCGAGTTCAAATGGTAGTAGTTCGCAACCGGTTAATAGTGTCCGGGATGCGAGCGTATAGAAATTGTGGACAGGTTTTCGTGGATTTGTTCCATTCATACTCTGCAAGAGACAGATACGCATTGGATTTTATCAACGGCTCTCATTGAGTGAGGCGCCTTTGGTGTGTAATAGATGAAATTTTCTACTCTCTCAACAATAATATAGAGAATATTTGGTGTCGCTACCACTGCGTACCATCATTTGAACTTTTGCGGAATTTCTGTCCGTTTGGAAAAGGAATCAAATCCTATACGTTGTAGTGTGAAATGATGCGGTATGAAGTTGACCTGTGTAATCAATATGGATGTGAGATAAGCAAGTGACACATCCTCGGCTGTTTAGGGAAACGGTCTTCCATAGATAGTATATCATCGAATCGATAAATGTTATAGGAGCCAGAGCAGAAAGATCAGATGTGTCCTAATAGATCCTAGTTGGGTCCTATAAGCGGAAAACTTCCTTGAAGGCAGTGCATATGATCGCGTGGGCGATTTTTATGGCGTCACTCAATGCGCTGGAGGACCACCTCCCAACTTCCTTCCGACAATCACGCTTAGTGACGTCACCGAAGTCGCTCCGCCTACTAGCCTTCGTGTTCACTGCCTTAAACGGCGCTTTACACATTGCGGGGTGCGAAGAGTTCTTCAAAGAGGGAAGACGAACAGGTCAATATTATCATTTAAGTATTCATCGAAAAACGTGCCTTAAAACGCTGGTTTCTACCCAATATCTCCAGACTTCCTTTATGCTACACCCTGAAGGCAAGGCATGGAAACCCCAGAAAACTTTGTTCTCTTGAGGAAGGAAAAACAGAGAGCTCAATGACATTTCGACACGCCTTAGTTGCGCGCCACCGCACGCGCCATCCCTTTTCATTCTGGCACCTACTGCGTTTACATGAGCCTTAATTCGAAGGCTCTTGTAAACACAGTAGGTGGCAGATCTCAATCGTATTCTGTTTCGCTTTGTGATATGGAAGACAAACACTCTCCTGAAATTTGTTGGTTCTATCAGGCTGCTGTGAGTTTTTGACGATATAATCCCTTTGTCCTCATAATTTTGGTCCACCCTGTGTAATGGGAGGGTACTATGTATACGCATTTTCTACTGCAAGCGCTTTTAGCTAAATTGTCAACCTTTCTTTGTTCGGAGCCTGAATTCCAAGATTCAACACAGTAAGCCAGATGCTGCATCATAGAAAAGATCTATCTTTTTTTTTTCAGTGTCCGACACATTCAAATTTGAGGAACAGTGCCGAGAAGACGGGATTCTTGTCAAGGTATGGAATTAAAATTCGAATTTTCTATTCATCAAAATCCTTCAAAGGAACATGTGAATAATATATCAGCAGGAGCTTCCGGAAGTTCGAAGCTTTTGAAGATATTTTCAAAAGTTAGAGTCATTTGTATATGTGTGCGTGTTCAACTCGTCACTTTTTACTTTTGTCTAACGAGAAGAAAATTCAAGATAGTTAAAAGGAGAAGATGGCGCTGGATTGATAAAATTGAGCGAATGCCTAAAAAAGAGGAGTCGAGAGTAAACAAGGTGGGTTAAGTGCTGTAGTGAAGACTGACGGGACATGAACAAAGTAAGTTGAAAAGCAGAAGGTGACCTTGGAGCAAAAATGGGAAGAGTCAGAAAATGAAACCAGT